ATCTGTGAACAGAAAAACAGAAGACGACTCTTTGAACTCAAACCTTTCACAGTTTCTCTCTCCATAGATGTTGCTAGACCTGCTGAGTTTCTCCAGCATGTGCTGTATGTTGCTTTTACACTAACTTATAACTCAAGTGGGCATCATCCTATGTCACTTTCAGGCTTTTTAACACTTAATAATTGGCTTTGGTGTTGTGAGGTTGACATGTTTGGTTCTTAATCACAGTAACCACTTGGCCTTAGTATCTCAGATGAAAATATTGACATAAAATAAAACAACAAACTGCAGATGCTGGAGATCCGAAACAAACAAAAACAGAAAGGGCTGGAGAAACTCAGCAGGTCTGGCAGCACCTGTGGAGAAAAAACAGAGTTAATGTTTTGAGTCCAGTGACCCTTCATCAGAACTCATTGGTCAATGGGCTCAAAACGTTAACTCCTTTTCTTTCCACAGATGCTGCAAGAATAAAAAAAAGGCAGTTGTAAGTGTTTCTTAATCTGATATTAAAGAATTTCTCTATTGACTGACAATAGAATGGCCTTCTTCTGCACTGTAACAATTCTGTTATTCCATCATTACGTGCCTTTCCTAGGGAATTTCAGTAGGAATTCAAAAGGCTTTGTGGCTGAAACAGTTTGGATGAAACTGCACCTTCTTGCACAGAGACTTGCAGTAATTAAACTTGAGCTTTAATTGAAAAGCCAGTCTAATATGATCATTAACTAACTATTCATACAATCATCTGTTTCAGGACTGTTAACTGGCTTAATACAGTAATTTGATTAGTATATGTGGTTAATACATAATGTGAAAGTTTATTTGACCATATTGGTTATTATGTTCGATACACTATAAAAACAGGTCAGGAAAATTAGTAACGTGAAACATCACAAAAAATGATTAGTTTCATGTTCTTTCTTGGATACACCATAAAAAAGGTCAGGGTGATTAGTATGTGAAACATCACAAAAAATGATTGGTTTCATGTTGAGTTACTGCAAGATGGGAACTTAAGTATGCATTTTTGTAGATTTATTCTCAAAATGTTTTATTTGCCCTTAAACTATTCTGGACTTTAGGCTGTTTCATCTTGGTACTTAACTGCACCAGAGCAAAAGCGTAATCTGGTCCAGGTTGAGGGCACTACCTATTCAATTGACCAATCAAGCTTTGGGATTGCACTGTCCCTTCTCCAGATATCTTTTTGTGCTGACCTAGCAAAATTAACTGAATGTTCTATAAATAGGATGTTGATTCAAAGTTGTTCCAGACCTACACTGCTTTGTATCTAAATCAATGCAGTTAAAAGAATTACTTTCAATCTTAAATTCTAATTTTATTGATTATACATTTGAAATTCCATAGTGGCATTAGAATCAGCAACGTTCATTATGAAGATTCATCAAAGTTTTCCTTTACAATACTAATAAAACATTGTGAAATATGCTTTTAGCTGAACACAATCTATTTTATATAAATGTATGAATTAAGAGGAGGAAGCCATTCCATCCTTCCAGCCTGCTCCACCATTCTATAAGATGATGATCAATTTGGTTGCGCTCTGTACTCCACTGTCCCTTGACTCCTTTGTTGGTAAAGAACCTACTGTAGGTGTAAAAAGAATCAATGAAGCTGCTGCCACAGCTTTCTGCAAAGAAAGTTCATGACCCTCAGAAAAGAATTCTGATCTCAGTCTTAAATCGGAAACCCTTCATCTGTAGAATGTGTTCATTGGTTTTAGTTTCTCTCAGGATGCGCATTAAATGCCAACTTAGATAGTTAGGTCACATATTGGGAGTAAATAAAAGAAACATCTCCAACAATTGGTGCATACATCTCTTTGTTTGGCCCCTTCAGAATATGTGTCACCCAAGTGCCTGTTCTGGGCAACTGGTGTTTGGAAGTGATGGCTCTGTCATGTGTCATAATTATTCACATTACCATTATTCTGTCCTTGATCTAATGTATTCTATTCATCAAGAATCCCATCACTAAACATTTGGGCCTTTGCAGTAGGTGCCTTGAATACTTCCGTCAACTGCACAGGGTCCGAGATTTTGTAATTAATCAGAGGCAGAGAAATGAGTCTCATGGGTACTTCTTTAAGAATTCATTTGTGGGATACAGGCATTAACCCCTCCACTTGTAAAGTCAGCATTTGTTACCCATTTCCAGCTGCCCTTGAGAAGATGGTGGTGAGCTGCCTTGTTGAACCTCTGAAGTTCACGTGGTGTAAGTACACCCAGTGTTATTAGGAAGGGAATTTCAGGATTTTGACCTAGAAACATGAAAGTACAGCAAAGCAATTCCAAACCAGGATGGTGTGTGGATTGGAGGGGTACTTGCAGGAGGTAGAATTCACGTGCATCTACTGCCCTTGCCCTTCTAGATGACAGTGGTTGCAGGTTTGGAAGATGAGGTTGAAAGAACTCTTGGTGATTTGCTACAGTGCATCTTGTAGATGAGAGACGCTACTCTCACAATGCAGCACAGGTACAGGGAGTGAATTTTTGAGGTGGTGGATGGAGTGTCAATCAAATATATTGCTTTGTCCTAGATGATCGAGTACTCTAGAGTTTCTCGATCATCTAGGGGTGCAATCATCTAGACAAATGGTGAATATTCTGTCATACTCATAACTTGTGCCTTGTAGATGGCGGACAGGCTTTGGGGCATCAGGTGGTGAGTTACCTGCTTCAGATATCCTAGTTTCTGAACTGCTCATCTCCACAATATTTATATGGCTAGTCTAGTTCAACGTCTGGTCAATGGTAACCCACAGGATATTGATAGAGGGGGACTCAGCAATGATAATACCATTGAATATCAAAGGGAAATGCAAAATTCCCTCTTTTTGGAGATGGTCATTGCCTGGCACTTGTGCAGCATGAATGTTACTTGCCACTTGTCAGCCCAACCCTGAATAGTGTCCAGGTCTTGCTGCATATGGACATGGACTGCTTCAGTATCTGAGGATTGTAAATGGTGCTGAACATTGATGATTGCACAATGTACATCCCTACTTCTGACCTTACGATGGAGGGAAGGTCTCTGATGAAGAACTCCTGTAGCTGTATCCTGGACTCAGATGTTTGAGCTCCAGCAATCACAACTATCTTCTCCTGTGCTAGGTATGACTGCAACCAGTGGAGAGTTATTCCTCCCAATTCTCAACAACTACAGTTTTGCTCGGGCTCCTTGATACCACAGTCAGTCAAATGCAGCCTTGATGTGAAAACAGATTTTCATACCTCACTTTGGAGTTCAGCTCTTCTGTTCATGTTTCACCCAAGGCTATAATGATGTCAGAAGTTGAATAGCTTTGGGGGAACCCAAACTGAGCATCAGTGAGCAGGTCACAATCAAGGGTTATTACTTTACCAAGTACTTTCCATTCCTAATGACCCTAAAATCTACTGCATTAAACTCTGCCTTGGATGGTCTTAAATTACACTCAGACCTTAGAGTTTTCTCCAAGATTTTAACCTTAGTGAAAGACCATCTCCCTGCTTGTAAAGCATTCTGCTGTGTAGAAAAAGTAAACTCACTTTTCTTTCCTTTATTTATTAACGGGATGAGGGCATCACTGACTAGGCAGCATTTATTGTCCATCCCTAATTGCCAGAGGGCAGTTCAGAGTCAACCACATTGCTGTGGGTCTGGAGTCACATGTAGGCCAGACCAGGTAAGGATAGCAGTTTCCTTCCCTAAAGGGCGTTAGTGAACCAGATGGGTTTTTCCGACAATCAACAACGGATTCATGGTCATCATTAGATTCTTAATTCCAGATATTTTATTGATTTCAAATTCCACCATCTGCCGTGGCGGGATTTGAACCAGAGTCCCCAGAATGTTATCCGGGTCTCTGGATTAACAGTCCAGTGATAATACCACGAGGCCATTGCCTCCCCTTACTGTAGTATCTTCTAAAACAGGAAGTCCAATGCACAGATCAAAAGGCAATTTGGGAATTTGCCTACAAATTCATTGATTGGGACGATATCCTCAACTATGTGGAATAATTTCTTGATGAACCATTATCCCAGAGTGCTAGTAAACTTGAAATCTGGTTCATCAGCTAAGATTTCTTTTGTAGTGTTTAATTTATTATCAAAGGATTTCTTTGGCCCTCTTGCTGAAATGCCCTCACTGTTATTTACCTTATACTGTAACTGGGTACTTCCTCTCAAGGTGAAAGGATTCTGACTGGTCCGGTCCTCCAGCTTTGACATCATTCCCACTGGGGACAGGGAACCCATGCCCCACGCCACTTAAGAGCTTGTATCCGTTGAAAATCTAAAAATTAACAATTCTCTCAACTGAGGTAGCTTTCTGACTTGGAAACAAACCCAAATCATGTTTACTGTGTTCAGTTTTGATCTCCTTACTTAACAAAGGATATTATTGCATTATAAGCAGATCAGAGAAAGTTCACTTGACTGATTCTTGAGCTGAAGGGGTTTGTTTATGAGAAGAGGTTGAAAATGTGGGTCAGTACCCATTGGTGTTTGGTAGAATGAGAGTTGATGTTACTGAAGTGTTTAAAGATCCTGCGGAGACTTGACTGGGTAGATGCTGAGAGGATGTTTCCACTTGTGAGGGAATCTAGAGCTAGGGCACACAGATGGAGAGGAAGAGAAAAGCTTTCTCTACGAGGGGTTTTGGAATTCTCTTTCCCAGTCGCAGTGGAGGCTGAGTTATTGAATATATTCATGGATGTAGTGGACAGATTTTTGATTGATGAGGGAGACAAAGGCAGACAGGAAAGTGGAGTTCAGAGCACAGTCATATCAGCCATGGTCTTATTAAATGGCAAAGTGTGCTAGAGAGACTGAATGATCTCCTCCTGCTCTTAGTTCTTGTGTTCTTGCCTCCAGTAAAAACTCAAACCAGAAATGCTTTAAAAGGCAAGTTGATCCAACTTGGATAGAAGTTCGCTCAAAATGAAAACTTGCAAAATGTGGCACCCATTCTTTCAGAAGCCAAGCTGACATCCGTCACAGCACCTATGGAAAGAACAAATAAAATTAGAGAATACATTAACACAAATAAGCTACATTAACACAGTCCATTTGAAAGGAACTTTATGGGAATTTTGTTGAAACATCCTCTCCCACAAATTATAATTTCTGTTGGAACAGCCATACAAGACCTGGATCTGGCAGATAATAAGATTAACCAGAGAAATTAAAGCAATATCAGATGACAACCAATTTTGTTAGACATAAACGCAGAAAGATCGACTGTGAACTCCACATACTGAATTGAATGTTAGAATTTCCTATGCTGCAGGCATAGCCCATTGCTGTGATCTTCTGTTAATGTCAATGGCAAGACACACCATACCATAGCAGTGGAACAGCAATTTTCCAGGAAGGTGGCCATTCTGTATGAGGCCTTGCTGTAGGCGCAGAAGTACATGGAAGACTTTGAGTTGAGCCATGAACTCAGTATTTACCACCAGTGAAACAGTGTGGCCAAATTTTCAGCAAATCAATACAAAAGTAATGAGAGTAGGCAACTGAACTCCGTGAGCCTGTCCCGTGATTCAATGGCATCATAGTCAATTTGTGACCTCTACTGTAATAGCTTTACATTGTAATTGATAAAGTAATTATTTGACATATCCGCCATTCCTTATTTTCATTCTCAATATTACCATCAATTTTCACATTGCCATAATTTTTCTATTATAGTTATACAACATTTCACACTAATTTGGCATTCCTTATAAATTTCTTTTTTGCACTCCCTTTTTGTAACTCCTACTGTCTGTCACCATTTTTCATATCTTTCCCATTTGCAATTCTTTGTCTATCTCAAGTTGGGGGAGAAAAGGGCAACATAGCAGTAATTGGGCAGAGCATAGTTAAGGGAATAGATACTGCTCTCTGAAGCAAGGACAGAGAGTCCCGAAGGCTGTGCTGCCTATGCGGTGCCAAGGTTCAGGAGCTCACTTCTGGGCTGGAAAGGAACTTAGAGAGGGAAAGGAGAGGATCCTGTTCTCATGGTCCACATAAGCACCAAAGACATACAGTGGACAAGGAAAGAGGTTCTGCTGAGGAGTTACGAGCAGCTAAAGGCGAAATTAAAAAGCAGATCTAAAAAGGTAATAGTTTCTTGATTACTACCTAAAATATGTGCAAATTGATGGTGGGGAAATAAAACTAAAGAGGTAAATGGGGGGGCTAAAAGGTTTGTCTGTGAGGGATGGATTCCAATTCATGGGGCATTGGCATCAGTGCTAGGAAAAGAGAAAGCTGTTCCATTTGGATGGTCTTCATGAATCATGCTGGGATCGGTGTCCTAGCATCATTATGGTTGCAGGTAAAGCATAAACTAATTAGTTGCAGCGGGGCAGATTCTCGACATTGACATATTTTCCTGATTGTCCCTAAATTTGTCCTTAGATGGCAACTATCTTCTAGAGTCACACAGCAGAAGAAAAGAGGCCCTTCAGCCCATCAGGTCTGTGCCAACCTATTTACACTAATCCCACTTGGCACATAGCCTTGAATGTTACAACATTTCAACTGCTCATTCGCGTATTTCTTAAGGTTGAGGTCTCCCACCTCTCTGTTCAGGCAGTGCGTTATCATGCTTGTATATCTCATTAAAGCCTCAAATCACCACATTTTCAATGCACTTTCAATTCTCCTCTCCCAGCACAATAACCAGATAGAACAAATTCCCAGCATGTAAAATACAGTGGATAACTGATGGTTACATTCTAAAACATTCTCTGTACAATGTGCTAAGCCTCTGTGTTGTCCACATTAAAGTGCAATGCCTTGGCACTAGTCCTTAATGTCATGGTTCAAGAAGCCATGACATCTAAGATTATTTGCAGTCCAGGAGTCAGTTGCTTGCGAGAGGTGAACAATGTTTGGTGACTGCAACTTGTTTCAGCCTTGGATGTCTAAATAGGCTGCTCAACTCTCTGATAGATGTGACTTAACCAGGTCCAAAGACAAATATCATACTACAGCTGGATTCTGGTGGTGGTCAGCAGGAGAAAGGATGGCCCTCTCATCAGTATTTCCAGATCCCTACCTTAGAAGCAGGGAACTAGCTTGCTTTTTCTCTGTGATATTTTCAAACTTCAGGGTTTAGCATTGCAGTTTGAAAGTTAGTTTCTGGCCTGCAGCATCTGATCTGGTGTGCAACTGGGCTTTGCGTATGGCACCAGAGATGTGCAAGTTGAAACATCCCAGAAGCACCAAGCATTTCTGCCTCTCCAGTCACACAATTCCCTGGGAAATGCATCCAACAGCTTGGTTGCATAATTAACAAGGTTAGAGGCAGAAAAACAGCATGAGAGTTAGCCTCAATGGACTGAATGCCATCAACCTGCTGCCACAAATGGGAAATTTCAGCCCTACATTAAATTCAATTATACCCCGCACACTATTAGATAAGTGTTTAGGCGGAGTAAGATTGTTAACTAAACCCGACTCAATTATTACTACAGCAAATACAATAGCCCTTTTATTTGTTCTGAAACATACTGTTGCAGAAAATTATCCTGAACACCGTGAAAATTTACTACCTATCTGACATGTGCTCATCTGCTTATCCCAATTGATATTAAACCCCTTTAAAACCATTATATGCTAATCTAATCTCTGTATGTAATAAAATCTAATTTAGCACTTTTGTGGTGCTACCAGGAGGCCTCTACACAATTCCAACTTTAGCCTTAAATTATTTTCTACTTATTACATTTGCACAAAGTGCCAGATTTTCCCCGATGCTAAGCAAACCTGCACAGGAAGACCAAAATGAGGAGTGTGGGAACATAATTTCAAAGTTGCCAGTCCATTTCTACCATCTACCATTTTCCACAGGTGGATGATAGCCCGGCATGCACTTAAAATGATGTTAGGTTCACGATTTATTCACCAGCTCTGGAATTTGGCTTTCCCCATTCTGAATGGTCAGAACTGAAGATCATGTACAAGGTGTAACCAGACCAAAGTACTATACAATTAGAATGGTGGAACTTGAAGCTACCAATCATAGAAATTAGGGCTACTGCTCCTTTCGTCTTTATAGCTGGAAATCCTATCATACTCCACCTCTTACAAGGCAATTCTTTCATTGTACACTCTTGAAATCCTCACTCATGTAGGATTTCGTGACAAGTAGTCAACATGCAGGAAATGAAAAATGACCTACCTTCAAATAACTGCCATTTTGATGTTAAAGCTGTTTGACATTTTTGTACACTTTCACTTTAAAACCCATCATCTTCAGTTCTTTTCCTGTCTCAAAGGACAATGTTTTTGATGGCTTGAATATGACAACATCAATTTCATCTGATTCATCTGCAACAGTAACATAAAGTGGAAATGTATCTTTTTTTGGGTGGGTTTGAAACCTATAACAAATAAAATACACAAATACAGGTTATTCAAATGTAGCTTGCATCTTATTTAAGAACTGCATTAACTTGACCCCAAATAAATACAAACAGAAATTGCTGGAGAAATCAGCAGATCTTGCGGCATCGGTGGAGAGTAAACACAGTTAACGTTTTGAGTCCAGTGACCCTTCGATGGAATCGATAGCATCTCGGAAAAAATGGCATTTATGCTAATGTATGAGGGGTGAAGAAAAAGCCCCAGACAGAGACAAAAAGGTAGGCAGACAAAGGAATTGTCGATAGTAAGTCCGGGAAGGAGAGAATTGAAGCTGAATAGGTGATAATGGGGACTATGAGTAGGTGAAAAGGGGTTGACTGCGCTGAAAGCACAGGACCTGGGGTATGGGGGGTAGATAATAGACATGGAAGGAAATAGCCACGCTGTAAAATTGTTGAAACTCAATGTTGAGTTGTGAAGGCTGTAAAATCCCCAAGCAGAACATAAGGTACTGTTTGTTCAGCTTGTGTTAAGCCTTACTATAGCACTGTAGTAGGAACACAGTGTGTTGAACAGGCAGGCAACTGAAAGCTCAGTCATTTTTACAGACAGAAAGTAGCTGTTCCAAAAAAGTGGTCACCTTGTCTGTTTCGTCTCCCCAGTGTGGTGTAGGCCGTATTCTGAGCAGCGAATAGAGTGGACTAAATTGAACAAAGTGTATTTGCTGCTTCGGGGTCGACATTTTGGGTCGGGACCTTTCTTCAGAAATTCTGAAGAAGGATCCCGACCCGAAACATCAGCTTTCCTGCTCCTCTGATGCTGCCTGGCCTGCTGTGTTCATCCAGCTCGACACTGTGTTATCACACACACAACCTTTGTTCCTTCTCTGACAATCCCATCTCCCTGGCTTAAAAGCTGTTAAATATCAATGCCACAGCAAAGAGGAAGTAGCAGAGAGATTGGACAGGATAACAAAAAAGGTGTACTTGAACATTGGTAGCATCAAAATAAAAGATCACCAGATCACCATTCCACCACATCTTGATGGAATTCATCCAAAGTTGCTGAGTGAAGTTGAGGGTAGAAATTGTGGAGGGTCCCAATCCAATCATGTTTGGAAATGGGGATAGTTCCAGAAAATGGGAGAATTGTAAATGGCATACTTCTGTTCAGCAGAAAAGGCAGTGGAATAATCCCAGTAACGTAGACCAGTCAGCCTAACCTTACTGGTGCAAACATAGAGACAATAACCTGGGGTTAAACTAAGCACTACTTGAAAATATATGGGTTAATTGTTGAAAGCCAGCACAGATTTTTTTCAAAGCAAGTTCTATTTGGCTAACTTGATTAAGTAACAGAGAAGGGTGATGTTGTGTATATAGACTTTCCAAAAGGCAGTTGATGAAGTGCCAAATAACAGACTTGTCAAAAATAGTGAAGACCATGGAATTAGAGTAGAGGCTGTGTTGATATGCAATTAGCGATGATGCAGATTACTAGCAAACAACGGCTTTTGAGACTGAAAGGAAGTGTCCTCTACTGTCCCACTCCTATTTTTGATATGTACAAATGATATTCACCTCAGGACAGGACACTAATGCATGACACTAATGCATAATTTCAAAGTTTTCATGTAAAGTGAAACTTGGGAAAGTAGCAAAACGTTAGAATGATGGCAACTTATCTCAAAAGAACACAAGGATTGGGGAAAAGGACAGATATGTGACGGATGGCAAATTGTGGAATTTTAAAGGTTGCAGGAATGTGTTTCAAAGAAAGTGATAGGAGAAATCGAGAAATCTGTCAAAAGGGTTCTTGGTTTTATAGATGGAAGCAGAGTACAAAAGCAACACATTGTGCTAAATCTGTATAAGGCTGGTTAAGCCTCAGTTGAAATTTTGTGCCCAGTTTTGGAAACCGCACCAAAAAAGTACACAAGAGAACGCTTTTCAGATATGTGAAGAGATTACAGAATCAGGGGCTGCTTGCCTTAAAACAGAGTTGGTGGAAGGAGAACAAAGGTTTAATAAAGGTGCTCAAAATAATTAAGGTTTTTAATAGAGTATAGGAAGAAAGTGTTTCCAGTGACAGTGGGTTAAATAACTAGAGGATGCAGATTTATGGTAATTACCAAACAACACTGCAGATTGCCTTAAGGAGGAAAGGCTAGACAGACTACGCCTAGATCCTCTGGAGTTTGGAAGAATTCAAGGTGACTTAATTGAAATATACAAGATCCTTAAGGAATTTGATTGAGTAGATTTTGAAAGGATATTTCTTCTTGTTGAGGGAGAATCTAGAACTAGAAGTCACAGTTTAAAAGTAAGGGGACACCTATTTAATACAGAGATGAGGAAACCTTTTATCCTCTCAGAGGGTTCAGAGTCTTCGGATTCCCTTCCTGAAAAGGGCAGGGAATGCAGAATCTTTAAATATTTTGAAGGCAGAGGTGTTTAGAATCTTGATGACCAAGGAGATAATAGATTACTGGGGATATGCAGGAAATTAGAGTTGAGGTTAAAATCAGATCCGCCATGAGCTTATTGAATAGTGCAGCACACTCAAAGGGTTGAGTGGCCTACTGTTGTTCCATGTTTGTAACTAGATATGACAGGAGGTAAACAATCTCACAACAAGTTGTTGTGATCTGTAACAACTACCTGAAAGGTTGGTGGAAACTCAACAGAAACTTTAAGAAAGGATTTGGATAAATACTTAAAAAGGGGAAACTTGGCAGCATTTTGGTTTAAAAAAAAAGTGAGAGAGTGAAATTAATTGGATGGCTATTTCAAAAACTGGAACAAACGCGATAAATTGAATGGTGACAGTCGGTGATAGATGTCTCTGTTCCAGTTCAGAATACACATTTGGTTTCCTTCTCCACAGATCCTCAGTGTTTCTAGAATTTGTCTTTCAAGTTTCCAACATCCTTAGAATTTTCCTCATGTTTCTTTTTCTCTTCATCATAAATTGTTAAATGTGTTTAAATAATATTTTGTTTAGCAATAACAAATACCTCAAATGTGATGGTATGCCTGTCCCCAAATTCAGCCTGGATACCTCCAAAAATTTGATAACTCAAACCTAAACTAAATGGCAAATCAAACCTGGGATAATTGTGAGCAAGATGGGACTCTCTCACACACTATTCAGTAAATTAATGAAATGTACAAAGCTCCCAAACTACTGTTCATTTGGAAGAGGACTGCTTACTGAAACATACCTTTATGATCTTGAAACATCCATTTACAAACGTTCCTGCAGGCTTTTGTTTGATTTCTCTCAGACTGAGGACTGGTACATCTTCTAACACTTTGATTGCATCTTTTTCCAGTCTGGTGATTTGCGAGATTTTTGTTACCTTCATCACCTCATTTGAAAATATAAAACTGGTTATCTGAACATTGGCACCTTTACAAAATTCCTTCTGTTCTCTGTTATACACTTTCACTTGGATGGTGTCGGTTTCATCTGCTATTGTTGCATGGAAAACCTTCATTTTCTTTTTTTGACGACTTATGTAATTATGGGTGAACTTTTCAATAATCTTCCCTCTGACAATCAGATCTTTCCGACAATCGTTTTCAGTTAATTGCAGTGCTTTCAGTTCCTTTAAAGTTGTGATCTGAGGTACAAATTTCTGTGTAAAATGTAATTCATTGACTGGTGCATTTACACAAAATAAAACATCAGCACACCATTCAAACACATCTCTTTAAAACTGTTAATATATTATCCTTTAAACAGATTACACTTCTTCCATCAGTTCCTCTGTTAAAATGTTAATGTGACTTAAAGTAAACTCTAGCGGCTTAGTGCCTAAAAACACAACTAGATGTAACATTAAGCCACAGAAAGCAGAAGATTGTGCTTATATTAAGTTTGCTGATCTCAAGCAAAGTTGCTGCAATTGACCTTCTGCGATAAGCAGATAAAAATCATCAGGATTCTTGCTCCTCATCAAGTGAAGTCAAGAACTGGTAAATAAACTTCAAGATAAATAAATGGGATGTATGGCTTTTAAGAAGTCTTAAGGACACCACACACGCTTTGGATGAAGAGTCTAAACAAGGGTCTGGATATGCAGATACACCGAAAACTAACACTGGTGTGCAGCTTAATAAGGTCATTACAAGCAACAAAGGATTGGGGCTCCTTTCTAGGGAAAAATAACTTTCCCGAGGTTGTTGGCTTGCTCGCTGAGCTGGCTGGTTATCATACAGACGTTTCATCACCATGCTAGGTAACATCATCAATGCGGCCTCCGATGAAGCGATTGTTGTTCTACTCCGCTTGGTATTTATATGATCTGCTCTGTTAAGTTGTGGGTTGTATCATTTCTGGTTCTGTTTGCATGGGTTTGTATATGGGGTCTAATCCAACATGTTTGTTGATTACATTACAGGTTGAAAACCAGGCCTTTAGGAATTCCTGTGTGTGTATATGATTGGCTTGAGCTAAGATGGTCACGTCGTCCCAGTTAAATTGACGGCCTTCATCGTCCGAGGGCACACTATGAGGATAGCAGCAAAACGACACGACAAACTTTCCCTCATCTCAGTGCACTTGGACAACGAAGGCCAACAATTTAACTGGGACAACATGACCATCTTAGCTCAAGCCAACCACAGACACGCACGGGAACTCCTAGAGGCCTGGTTTTCAACCTGTAATGCAATCAACAAACATGTTGAATTAGACCCCATATAAAAACCCATGCAGAACAGAACCGGAAATGACACAACCCAACTTAACAGAGTGGATCATATAAATACCAAGCGGAGTAGAACAACAATTGCTTCATTGGAGGCCGCACTGATGATGTTACTTGGCATGGTGACAAAATGTCTGAACAAGAACAAGCCAGCTTAGCGAGCAAACCAACAACCTCACCCACAACCCAAGCTACAAATCTTTGCAAGAACCTTAAATATATAAAACTTTCCTACTTAACAATTCTGTTAAATTTATTTAGAATTCTGGTAAGATCACACAGACTATTGTAGACTATAGCTCTCCAAATCTGCAGATGAAAAAGACCCGGAAATACCATGAATTGAGAGGAGGAAAGTGATAGACTTCACTGATGACACAGACAAGCCAGAGGCAAATAGTTGCAGACAAAGCAAATTAAAGAATACAGAGAAATAGGGAATTATATATTTTGATAATGAGAATAAGAAGTGGTAATATACCGTAAAAGATTCAATTCTAAAAATGGGATGCAAGAGCGGAGGAATCGTGGTGGTTAAGGGCAAGTTAAAAGATTGAAAAGCATAAGGGATCTTAATGTTATAAATAGAGGCATTGAGTACAAAAGCAATGAGTTTATGGTGAACATTTATAAAACTGGTTCAGCCTAAACTGGACTACTGTGTACATTTCCCGGCTCCACACTTAAAGTACAAGAGGGCATGAGACATTGCAGAAAGGATTCATGAGAATGATTCCAGCACAGGGTGGGGGGGTTCAGTCATGTGGCTAGATGGGAGCAGCTGAGACTGTTTCTTTAGAGAAGGGTGAGAGGAAACCTGGTAGAATGTACAAAATCACATAGGGTCTGGACAGAGAAGAGAGGAAGAAAAACTGTTCACAATAGGGGAAAGACCATGAAACAATCTAAGGTGAACGCCAAAAGAACCGAAGGCAACAGGAGGAAAATATTTTTTTTAAAAACATAGCAAGTGGTTATATTCTGGAATGCACTGCCTGAGACTGTGGTTGATGCAGATTCAACTATGGCTTTTAAAAGGAAATATGATGATTTTCTGAAAACAAAATAATTGAATGGCTGCAGGGAAAGACAAAACAAGATAGGTGACAGCCTCTGTCTGATGCATTTCTCAGGAGGGTGACTCGATCAATGAGAGTCAGGGTTAATCTGCCTGGTTTCAAATCTAAATAAGTCCTGACAGATAACTGTCAGTCATCCAGCTGCTGCATTCTCCATGGCAACACCTCTATCAGAGTTTATTTATCAATCAATAAGCCCTGTCCTTATACAGTTTAAATGTTTTCATCCCTTTGCTTTGGTATTTCTTGTAAATTGTCCTGATGAATGCACAATGGAAACAGATGACAAAAAGAAATAAGCAGCTTTTTCATTGAGTTGTTAAAGTGAATAGTACACATGAATTTAAGAGGAAACAAAGTGATAAACAGTATTAATACTGATTTTTTAAATTGTAAATGCGACCTTTACTGTTGAGATAATTTTTTGTTCCTTTGCACTTTGCTTTTGCTGTAATATGGCCAGACTGCCTTGAGACACTTTGGTACCTTTGATGAATGGCACTTTTGCTGTTGATTCAATTTTTTGTTTCTTTCTACTTTGCATTTGCTGTAATTTGGTTGATTTGTCTATTTTTGCGTTTTACTGGACCTGTAATACAAAATCTGTTACCTCTATTCAATGATAAAATTGGAACCATTTGAACACAGAAACAGGAGTAGCTCAGTTTGCACGTTATATTAATACCTATTGTTTTAATGCCAATTGTCTGTTTGCACACTCCCTCCTGCCCGTTGCACCCTTTAGCATAGAAAGTCAGATCCATTAAGAAGGTCAAGCATTTAAAGCAGTTAAAACTACATTAGAAATTCACACAAGGCTCTCTTAGAAACGGACAGCAGTGAAATTTTCAATGAAAGTGAAGAAATGTTGGTTAAACTGAATAATTACCTTCACTCAGTATTTACAATAGAGGAATAAGTCAACAAACCAGATGTTCCAATGAGTTAAGGACAGGGACTGAGCAAAAATTAACGAGTAAAATAGCAGTAAGAAGAAAATAATGGCACTGAATGGCACCAAGGAAATTAAGAGATATGAGAATAATGCAGGAAGGTGAATTTGAGCTGCAACATCTGCCATAGTCTTATTGAAAAATAGAGCTAATGCAAAAGGTCAAATGCATGACTTGAGCTCCTACTTTTTATATGGGAGTGTCCTGTGTAAAATTCTCCATGCCAAATCTGAATGTCAGAAGTCATGCAATGCCAGGTTATAGTCCAACAGGTTTATTTGAAATCACAAACTTTCGGAGTGGTGCTCCTTTGTCAGATGTCGCATGACTTCTGACCTTGTCCACCCCAATCCAACACTGACACCTCTACATCAAATCTACAATGAAGAAAGGACCAGTCTATCCCCAAAAAAATGGGAAAGGAGTAGGCCCTTAAGCCCCTCGACCTTGTTCTGACATTCAGTAGGATCATGGCTGATCCAATATTCCTCATATCTGCATTCCTGCCTTTTCCCCATAATCCTTGATTCTCCAAGAAATCTAGCATCTATCTCTCAGACTTAAATATACACGACTCTGGCCTCACAGCTCCCTGTGGCAAAGAATTCTAAAGACTCACAACTGTCAGAAGAAATTCCGCCTCATCTCAGTCTTAAATTGGCATGCTTTATTCTGAGACTATTCTCTCTGGTACAAAAACAGAACTTGCTGGAAAAGTTCAGCAGGTCTGGCAGCATCTGTGAAGAAAAATCAGAGTTAACGTTTTGGGTCTGGTGACCCTTCCCCAGAACTGAAGGTAGCTAGGAAAATGGCAGTTTATGTGCTGAAGATAGGGAGAGAGATGGGTAAGGACTAAATGATAGGTGGGGCTAGAGTCTAACGAGACAGAAGAGCAGTTGGATAGACAAAGGAGTTGATAATGATCTGGCTGGGAGGGTGATTAGTTGTTAATGGGGACTATTAGTGACTAACGATAGGTAGTGTGTAATGGCAGACAATATGATAACTTGAGATAGTAGGAACTGCAGATGCTGGAGAATCTGAGATAACAAGGCGTAGAGCTGGATGAACACAGCAGGCCAAGCAGCATCATAGGAGCAGGAAGGCTGACATTTCGGGCCTAGACCCTTCATCAGAAAATTCTACACCTTGTTATCTAATATGATAACGTGGCCTGGTGTGTGGAGTAGGAAGCTAGGACATGGGAGAGTTTAGGCACTAAAATTATTGAACTTGATATTGAGTCCGGACGGCTGCAGGGTCCGCAAGTGGAAAAGGAGGTGCTGTTCTTTCAGTTTGCGCTGCACTTTGCTGGAACATTGCAGCAAACCTGAGATAGAGATGTTGGGGATCATGCAGTCATCCAGACTCAATATCGAATTCAATAATTTTAGGACCTAAACTCTCCCTTGTCTTAGCCCCCAACCCCACACACCAGACCTTGTTACCACATAGCCTGCCATTACACACTAACTAGTCACTAACAGTCCCCATTAACAACTATTCACCCACCCAGCCAGATCGTTATCAACTCCTTTGTTTATCCAGCTGCTCTTCTCTTCTCTCTCTTCGGGCTCTATCCCCACCTATCGTTTACTCATTACCCCATCCCCCTCCCTATCTTCAGCATATAAACAGACATTTTCCTAGCTACCATCAGTTCTGAGAAAGGGTCACCAGGCCTGAAATGTTGACTCTGATTTTTCTTCATAGGTGCTGCCAGACCCGCTGAGCTTTTCAGGCAACTTCTGTTTTTGTTCCTGATTTATAGCATCCGCAGTTCTTTGTTCCTATTCCCTCCGGTCCAAGGACTCTCCCATGAGGGGAAACATCCACTCAGCATTTACTCTGTCAGCCTCTTAAGAATCCTATTTCAATGAGATCACCTCTCATTCTTCTAAACTCGTGAGTCGAGTCCCACTTGTTTAACCTATGCTTGTGAAGACAGTCCTTCCACAATGGGGATCATCCTAGCAAAACTTCTCTGAATTGCCTCCAATTAAAGAATACTTGTTATTTAAAAAGTGGACCAAAACTGCTCACAGTGCTCCAGATATGGTCTCATCAGCACCTTATCCAGTTGTAGTAAGACTTCCCTACTCTTATAATTCAACCCCGTTGAAACAAAGGCAAACATTCCATGAGCCTTCCTGATTCCCTGCTGCTCCTGTTCGCTAGCTTTCTGTGTTTCATGCACAAGCACCCACAAGTCTCTGTGTTGCAGCTTTCTGCAATTTTTCTCCACTTAAATTATACTCTGTTCTTTTGGCCTCTCTTCCAAAGTGAACAACTTCACATTTGCCCACATTTTACTCTAGCTTCAACTTTGTGCCCACATTTTTTTTTCTTTATACATTCACGGGATGACAGCGTCGCTGGCTAGGCAGCATCTATTACCCATCCCTAAATGCCCAGAGGACAGTAAAGAATCAACCACATTACTGTGGGTCTGGAGTCATACGTAGGCCAGACCAGGTAAGGATGACAGTTTCCTTCCCTAAAGGTCATTAGTGAACCAGATGGGTTTTTTCAACAATTGACAATGGATTCACGGTCATCATTAGACTGTTAATTCCAGGTATTTATTGAATTCAAATTCCACATTCTGCCATGGCAGGATTCGAAGCCGGGTCCCCAGAACATTATCTGGGTCTCTGGATTAACAGCCCAGCAATAATACCACTAGGCCATTGCCTCCCCAATTAGTTAAAACTAAGTGACTTTTGTATTTTTACATCATATAATTGAGACAGTGAGAAATATGAAAGGAGCAACTGATTTGATAAAATACAATGCAAGAATACAATGAGTAACAGAATTCAAGCTGTCCTTAGAGATAAACAAGCCTGAGATAGACCTGAAGGAGTATAGTCAGTTAACGTTTGGAATTTTAATGAATAGGATGCACAGAAAGACTCCAAAGCCTAGAGATTACAATACCTGGTTAACACCATAAAATCATGGGAACCTGGGGCTGTCCGTAGGAATGCCTATTATTGATTAGGTGTCTCACAGGATTGGGTGCACGGATTAAGCGGGAAGGACACTGTCCACATTGTATTTCATTATTGGAACACGTGTATAAAAATGCTGTATTTCTTTGTAAAATTGAGTGTGCCATTGATCTCTCATCTGATCTGAGCCACAGATTAAGGGAAAAATTGCTTTCTCACATCAAGGCAAGATTCGGAGAAAGATCTTTTGGACCTCTCCCTGCATCAACCGGTTTTTGCTTGAATAAACATCTTCCACTTGCTTGAATCCTGCCTGCCCTCTGAGTCTTTGTCCCAGATCGGGGTACGCTCCTACAAACCCTATGCTGAACGTGGCCTGGGAATTTGAAAAGGGTTGGTGGAGTGGGATATTTACTCTGTATTTAACTCTGCTGTAGCTGTCTTTCACTGATTTATGGGAGAGTGTGGTGGGTGATTTAATCAATATCTAACACTGTGCTGAACATTGCCTGGAAATTTGAAATGTAAGCATAACTTTATTCTGTATGGAAATCCGTACTGTCTTTGTCCTGGGGTGATGATGGGGACAGTGAAAAGTGAGAGTTATTCTGCATCTAACCCTTTGCTGGATTCACGCCTCATCCACGGATGCTTAGTACCAACAATATGTACCATCCACAAGGTGCCTTGCAGAAACTCACCAACTCTCCTTTCCGCAGCACCATTCGAACTCATGGCAATCTAGAAGGACAAGGGCAGCAGATACATAGGAACGACACCACATTCAAGTTCTGTTCCAAAACATTCACCATCCTGATGTGGAAATATTTTGCTGTTCATTCAGTGTCGCTGTTTCAAGATCTTCCCTGATCGCATTGTAAGACTTCCTATAGCATAGGTAACAATTCAAAAAGGCAATTCACCAACACCAACACCTTCTCAAGGGAAATGAGGGAATGGTCAAATGAATACTGACCTCACCATCAATTTCCATATTCCTTGAATAAATTAGAGCTAAAAATATTATCCAAACATGACTAATGTTGGACATGGAGATTTGGGTTTTGAGAGTGCAGGCTGGTTGGGTCTAGTCAGTACCTTGCATATTGTGAGGGGAACCTGGATGAGGTGACAGAGTTAGCACTGTTCTTTGACTTGAAGGAGGTTAGAGATAGAGACAGCTATAGGAACTGGAGTTGGATACAGCAATCAAGAGGATGTTACAGATCCATGGATGGTTTTAGTGGCTTCAGGAGGTTACAGAATTAGGAAGGCTAGTGATGGCTGGAGGAGGTAGAATTAGGGAGCATTGCAGTGATGGGAGAATGTCACAGCGATAGACAAGATTGTAGAGGCTGGATGAGGTTACAGACATGGGGACGGTTAAAGTGACTTCAGAACGCTATACAAAGGGAGGGTTGCGGAGATTGGAGCAGTTTACATAGGCAGGAAAGGCTATAGAGACCGGAGAAGTTTGTACAGATAGGGAGGTCTGTAGGAATGGTCGATGGTTACAGAGGTCATGAGGTGCTGTAGGATGGGAGGCAGGAGTGTTACAGGGATTGGAGAAGGTTACAGTGATATCAGGTGCTTTAGCGGCTGGAGGATGGTGTACAGATGGGAAGGTTGGTAGGGGCTGGTGGATATTACAGAGACAGAGTGGACTGTAGGTACTGGACAAGATGACAGATATAAGGATTACAATAGTAACTGGAGGAGGACAATACTGAGATTGGGCATGTTATTAAGATTGGAGCTATTTGCAAAGATTGGGAGGGTAGTCAGCATTGGAGTAAGTTTCGATCGTAAGGAGGGATTTTAGGGAGGGCAGG